CCCCGTCTCCTGTCGCCTCCTCCGGCCCCGACGCCCCTCCCCGTCTCTGTCGCCTCCTCCGGCCCCAACGCCCATAAGATATACGAGCAGAATTAGGCCATTCAGCCCATTGACTCCGCTCTGCCATTTGACCATGGCTGATATTTTTCTCAAACCCCATTCTCCGAGATCTCCTTTTTTCTCAAATTTCAGCCTCTCGGGCATCCCCCGACTCCCATCTCTCCAGCCCCTGGGGACTGTGCCTTCACCTGCCTAGGCCCTGCCCCCAGGAATTCCCTCCCTAAACTTTTTCACTTGTCTGTCTTGCCCTCCCCCCTCTTAAAACTGACCTCTCCAACCCAGCAGTCTCCGATTCCTACGATCTGCTGATGTGTTTCCGGGTCTGGTTTAATCTGATTGGCACTGCTGCCTTTGGGTCGTTTCACTGGGTTAAAAGTAGTGTATGTATAAACTCTGTACTGCGTCATGGTGAGTTAGTGAGTGCCTGCCTGACTGACTGTATTCTGTTTGCTCTACATGACAGGGTAAAGAGTTTGAGACCCGGCTGAAGGAGAAGAAACCTGGAGATTTATCTGATGAGCTCAGACTGGCTCTGGGAATGCCTGTTGGAGCGGTTAGTAAATTCCATCCCATCTTTGAGAGGAATGAAACCAGGATCCCTGACCTCACAGACACTTAAACTTGTCTCTATCCCTGTTCCCATCTGGAATTGTCACTGTATAACACAGATACAGACCCGTCCCCACCGGTACTGTTCTCCCCATGTCATACAGGGCCAGCCTTGCCTCTCGCCAGAATTGTGTCCCATGGTCATGCTGCTCTGAAATACCACTTCCAAACAGAATTAAAATTTGGAAAGAGAAATTATTTCTCCCTCACTAGTAAAGTGAACCTTGGGATCTACCAAATTCCCTCGAGTTGTGGAGTTCCACTAAGGGCCAGAGTCCCTGGTATGCAACGATGTGAATTGGGAACTGTATGTCACTGTTTGGGGCTTGAATGTGAACACGGATCTCCTCCCCCTCACACTGCCAGTGAAGGAATGTGTCTCAGTTTGCGGTTGGCACCAGTACAATAGCTTGGCTGACTCGGCAGTATCTGTCTCTGGATCCTCCTCCAGTTTTTCAATCCTCAAATGCTCTGAGATCACTCCCACTTATGACCCTCAGCTGGCAGGTCCATAAGCACCGGAATTTACCCCCCAAACAAACCTGCTCCTCTGTCTTCCCCTCTAAGATGCTCCCAATGACCTTCCTTGCCTCTCCCTTTATGGTTATACATGAAAGTTCAGTCGGATTTGTGCTCGCATGAAGATTGTACAAATTGGAGTTGTTCTCTGTGGCAGATTCTCTGTGTTTCCGAAGTTGCTCTTTGTAACAGTTTGGGTTTTAGTTATTGTAATGTTTGTGTCTTCCACAGAACGCACACAAGGTCCCTCCACCGTGGCTGATTGCCATGCAGAGATACGGTCCTCCTCCATCCTATCCCAATCTCAAAATCCCCGGCCTCAACTCTCCTATCCCAGAGGTACGTACGATCCTCCTTAACGTGACGGGACAAGAGGGAAATGGTGCTATCACAGTTTACAATAGCGGGTCAGGCCAGTGAGTTTCCTCCGGGGGGGTGTTTGGGTCAAGTTAATGAGAAGAAACTTTTCAGTGACAGAAGGGTCGATGACCCAGATTGACAGCAATTGGGAATTTTAAGAAGTTGGATCTGGGATGTTTAGAGCCTGCCTTGGTCTGTTCACCCTTTTGTTTTCTGTTCAGGCTCTAGTAATGTTCAGGCTGTGAAATGTCTGTGTGCTTCCTTTGCAGAGCTGCTCCTTTGGTTACCATGCTGGAGGATGGGGAAAGCCACCTGTCGATGAAACTGGTAAACCACTGTACGGCGATGTGTTTGGAACCAATGCGCTGGAATTTCAGGTAAATCCTACCGAGCTGACACTGTCACGACACAGTAAGACTCCTCCTCAGGCCCCACGCACACCACTGACTGCCCAGTGCCAGTTTCTCTGACACACAACATGACAAAGCTTAGGCTAACATAGCTTTGGAACACCCCTCCCGAGTCTCTGCACACACCACGCACCATCGGAGTGCAGGGATCTGCTGACACCAGTGTGTGTATCTGCTTGTTTCCTCATGTGAAACCGCACCACAATTTAGCAACTGTCCAGGCACTATATTGAATAGCCTATTCTTTTTCTGGTGGGATAGATTTGAGAGGCTGAATGGTCCCCTCCTGTTCCTGTGGGATGTACACAGATGAAGAGGTTTCTGATCTTCCCCCACAGGCGAAGACTGAGGAAGAGGAGTTGGATCGGACTCCCTGGGGTGAGCTCGAACCTTCCGATGAGGAATCCTCGGAGGAAGAGGAGGAGGAGGATGAGAGTGATGAAGATAAACCAGACGACACCGGCTTCATCACCCCAGCTGACAGGTAGTGACTTGAGGCAAAGCCCCAAGCGGTGAGATCCCTTGGTATGTGACTCCCTCTTGGGCCTATCTGTAGCTTGGACCCAGAGCTCCGCACTGTGCCTCATAATAACTCCACTGTCACTGAGGCTACTCGTCTGCTCCCACACCGTTCTCTGGTATCCTCTCGGATCAGTCCCTTTGCCCATCTCTGTGCTCGCCCTGGCCTACAACATCCTCACCAGTACACTGCCAGTGCCCACCTCTGCCTGACTGCCCCCTCGCACCAAACCTTCCCTCCACCCCCCCGCCAAGTCCCCAGCTCTACCCCTCCTCTCTTCCTCCCTCATCCACAGTGTCTCAGTGATCAAAGTGCCTGCCCCACTCCCAGAACTGGATCTGCGGGAATCTCCTGTGGTAAAATATAGGGAAGACCAAAATTTCCACGTGACCAGCTCCATCCTTCTCCCTGTTAACAATCTGTGATTAAACTGATCTGTTCACAGCCTGGGTGGGGATCACCCCCATTTTCTGGGTCTGCCTCCACCGCCGCCGCACCCCCCCTCCCACCCCCCCACCACACTCCCATGTTTCCACCCTCATCATATCCCCCATGTTCATCAGCTCCAGGCCCAGCTCATCCAACTCTCTCCTGGCTCCTACCCTTACCCACCCCCTGCCCCAACCGCTCTCCCACCCTCACTGGGTAACTGTTCAGGCTGGTGACCTGTTCCCTGAAAGTGATTTTTCTCTCCCTCTGATCGTTTCCTTTTCACGCTCTCTCGTTCTCTCTGCAGTGGGCTGATTACCCCAGGGGGTTTTTCCTCTGTCCCGGCCGGAATGGAGACCCCTGAACTCATTGAATTGCGGAAGAAGAAGATCGAGGAAGCCATGGATGGGTAAGGACCCCTGTGCCTTGATGTTCCAGTGTGTCGGGGCATGATACAAGGGTAGGGAGGTTATGTTCCGGTCATACTGCATGCTGATGAGACCACGGCTAGAAAACAGTGTGCAGAGCTGGTCTCCCTATTCCAGGAAAGTTGTAAATGCAGTGTGGACAGTTCAGAGAAGGTTTCCCAGACAGGCTTCAGGAAGGTGGGGCGGGCTATTGTACGAGGAAAGATTGGACAACCACAGCTGGGATCCACTGGTGTTACGTGCAGTCAGAGGGAGCCTGATTGAAATGTATCGGATCCTGAGGGGGGAGGGAAGGGGAATGTGGAGAGAATGTTTCCTGTTGTCGGAGATTCTCAAAGACAGAATGAGGGGAAATCTTTGCCCTGAGACTCTGGAACTCCCTTTCTGAAAAGGCAGTGGAATTAGAGTCTGTGAATATTGTTAAGGCAGTGTGGATTGACCCTGGGTCAGCAAGGAGGGAATGTGGAGTGATCTTATCGGAAGGGGGAGTAGGCTAGAGGGGCTGACTGGCCATCTCTAGCTCTAGCTTGTATCTATTACTCCCAGCTAGTGCTGGAAAGGAGGTGAAGGGAGCATGTAGATTTAGTATGGGTTTGGCAGTACAGTCTCAATGGGCCAAAAGGCCATCGAGATGGGAAGCAGTGTGAATGGAGCGGGGGGGAGCGGTCGGGGTCAGCAGGTGGGGAGGGAATGTCAACTCACTCTGTCAGTAGGATCCTGGGCATGGCCTGAGGTGCAATGGTGGGGAAAGAGGTGTTTGGTTGCAGGGGGTGCCGGGCAGGGTGGAGGTGGAGGTGCAGGGGTGGGGGCCTGGCTCTGGGCACTGGGGATGTCTGTTTAACTGTAACTCCTTTCTCTCCCCAGCGGCGACACCCCTCAGCTGTACATCCCGGTGCCAGAGAAACGGACAGCGACAATCGGGGGAGCCATGATGGGCTCGACACACATCTATGACATGTCGGCGGTGAGTCCCTCACCGCACCCAAGGGGGGCGGTAATCCCCCACCCCTCTCACGCTTGGCTCCCATCGGTAGAGCCTGTTTGTGGTCCAGTCAGTGTGTCCTTCACTGAGGTCCTGTCAGGTTAAGTCTGTAACCTCACAGCCCACAGCCCGTGCTGAGTTTGGGGCACCTGCCCTGGGGGTACTCTCCAGCCCTCTCAACCCCTGGGTCAGGAATTAGTGCAGGGTCCGCACTGGAGCGCAGGAGGTTGAGAGGCAACCTTACAGAGGTTTATAAAATAATGAGGGCTACAGATAGAGTTAATAGTGGTTCCTTTTCCCTAGTGTGGGGGATTTCAAGACTAGGGGGCACATTTTTAAGGTGAGAGGAGAGAGATTTTAAAAAAGACATGAGGGGCAAATCCTTTGCACTGAGGGTGGTTCGTGTGTGTAATGAACTTCCTGAGGAAGTGGTGGATGTGGGTACAATTACAACATTTAAAAGACGTTTGAATAAGTACATGGATAGGAAAAGTTTGGAGGAATATGGGCCAGGAGCAGGCAGGTGGGACTAATTTAGTTTGGGGATTATGTTTGGCACAGACTGGCTGGGCTGAAGGGTCTGTTTCTGTGTTGTATGACTATCCATCTGCGTGATGGTGAGGTGCTCCAGTAGGCACAAGGGTGTGGAGTGTGAAACTAGCCAGCTGTCTCCTACACTGACCTGGGGCTGGATCTCAGACTCAAACTCTACAATTCAGTCCAGGGCCTTGTAGATATCCCTCTGCCAATTCTGCCTCCTTACCAGATTGCTGTGTGTGGGAACTTGCTGTGCACAGATTGGCTGCCATGTTTCTGATACGGCAGCAGTGACCAGGCTTCAAACAAACGCTCCTTTGGCCATGAGGCAGTGGGAGGTGCTACAGAAATTCACACTTGTTCTTCAAGTGAGGCTTTGTGGCATCTTGGTGAATAGATGAGTGGAAATGATTGTGAGATGGGGGTGTTTTTGTAAGGGCTGCTGGCACTCTGTCTATACAAGGTCAGGGCTCTCCATGTCTGGTGTAACTCTGTCTTTGTGGCCCTGACACACTATCTTTATAACGATTTTGCTACGTGCTATTTTTACAGCACCAGAGGTCGTGGGCTGGGTAAATCTCCCCAGTGTCCCCTGCTGCCTCTGTGCAGTAATTGCTGTCTGCTTAATGGATCCTTGGCCTGAGAGAGAAAGCAGCAACGCTCCCAGGATGGTCATCTAGAGAAACATCCTCAGACATCCCACCCCTCCAATAGCAAGCCACTTTCAAAGCCAACCTTCCCACCAAGCCCAGACTAACCAGGTTTCCCATGACTGCCTGAGCAGCCTTTTGAGGACAGGGTTGGGTTGAGGAGAACTGGGTAACTGTCTTTACGTCGCTGTCCCAGTAAACAGTCGCCTGAAACAGGCCACTTGGCCCATCTGCTCTGTGCTGGTGTTAGTGCTGCATATGGAGCCCCTGCTACCCAGTGGGACTCCTGGTTGGTGCAGAAAGGCACTGGAGGGGACACAATCCATAACAGATCAATAGCCTGTTACCGACCGTTATCCTCAAAAGAAGTTCACCTGTGTTTGGTGCTGGGGTCACAGCTGATTGTGTCTAACCAGGATGTTGCCTGGTATGGGGGGATTTTAGCTCTGAAGAAAGGTTGGATAGACTGGGTTTGTTTTCACTGGAAGGCAGGAGGTTGAGGGGCGACCTGATAGACGTTTATAAGATTGTGAACGGTATGGATAGAATGGGAAGTATGAGACGTTTTCCCAGGGTGGAGGGGTCAATTACTAGAGAACATAGTTTCAAGGGGAGGGGGGATGTTTAAAAGAGATGTGCGAGGCAGGTTTTTCACACAAAGGGTGGTGAGTGCCTGGAACACGCTGCCAGAGCAGGTGGTGGAAGCAGACACAGTAGCAGCATTTAAGACACACCTGGATGAATACATGAATAGGAAGGGAATAGGGGGATATGGATCCTGTAAGTGAAGACAGTTTTAGTATGGAAAGGCAAAATGTGTCAGCACAGGCTTGGAGGACCGAAGGGCCTGTTGCTGTGCTGTATTGTTACTCGCTGTGCCCTGTGCGAGGCGACGCTGACGGTGCTGTGTTTGATAGGTGATCAGCCGTAAGGGCCCGGCCCCTGAGACCCAGGGGATCGAGGTGGCTCTGGCACCAGAGGAGTTGGAGCTCGACCCAATGGCCATGACCCAGAAATACGAGGAGCGGGTCCGTGAGCAGCAGGCCCAGGTTGAGAAGGAGGATTTCAGCGACATGGTGGCTGAACATGCTGCCAAACAGAAGGTAAGAACAATTTCTCCATTCCTCCTCCTCCTCTCTTCAACAAACGCAACATTACCTTAAACCGCCCCTGGTGAGGCACAGCAGCAGAAACCAGGCCAACAGGTCAGTGGGAGCTGATCGAACAGGAATGGGCCCTTCTCAGTATCTAATTACCATCCTCCGGGAAGTATCACACACCCCACCCCCTGCCCTACCTGTCTGCACAATCGGCACCACAGATCCCTCTCGATGGGTACCCGAGTATGGACATAACCATGGGAAAGGCAGGTACGTCATCTCCCTCTCACAGTTCACCCAGCAGTGCTCCCAGGACCAGGGCAGCACTGGGGAATCCGGAGAAAAGCTCCCTCTACACTGCCCATCACCCCACCCCCCAGAGAAAAAAACCCAAATCAAACACTCCCACAGGGTTGGATCCAGACAAAAGCTGCCTGTACACTGCCCCCCAACACCCCCCAACCTTCAAACACTCCCAGGATAGAGATAGCACAGGGTTAGATACAGAGTAAATCTCCCTCTGCACTGTTTCCTCCACCACCACCCCCCGCCCCAAATCGAGTATTCCCATGGACAGGGACAGCACAGGGTTAGATACAGATTCAAGCTCCCTGTACACTGTCTTCCCTGCACCACTGAACATTCCCAGGACAGGGACAGTAAACTGGGTAGTTCCTGTTTTTGTTTACTGCAGTGGAATAATTGTGTGTGAACCTGGAGCCTGATAGCGGCCCCATTCAGGAGGCCGGCACTTGGCCATTGTTAATGTAATCTGTGCCTTGGCCTGAATCGGTAGATGATGCCGAGTGTCGATTCAAAGGGGCATGGGGCAGGGTGACCTGCTGAATGCTGTTGGTACCTGGGGGCTGGCGCTGATCCAGAACCCAGCAGGGCTGCCTATGGGGTTGCTGTCACCAGGTTTATTATGTGTGTGCCTACTGTAATGTGGTGCTGAGATTGTAGTGTGTCACCTGACAGGCCTGTCACCAGCTCCCAACTCTTGCACAGTCACTGCCTGGTCAGAATGACTGATCCCACAACGGGAGCAATCTCGGTCCGTCACCCCCTACCCCCCACCCCAGCCAATGCTCCTGAGAACGGGCCTGTCCCCTCTCTGCTGTTCTGGTCACATGTCCATCGTTGGTTATGGCTGTGTGTTGGGTTTACGTTGCCGTGGGAGTGTCGTTGCGCTGCTGATAGCTGCTATAGAAATGCAGGATGTTGTAACAGTTTCTTGTTTGGTTCACAGCAAAAGAAGAGGAAAGCCCAGCCCGCTGACAGCAACCGAGGAACTAAGAAATACAAGGAGTTCAAATTCTAACTTTACCCAACCACAGCCTTCACCTGTTCTCTCTGCTTCCCCACTTCGTTGTATTAAAGTTGTGATTTTTTTTTTAAACAGTGAAGTGTCTTTGCTGTGGTTTTTTTACACTCCATACAGCAACTGGTTAATGTGGAACAATTCATTCTGTTCCAGCATCTTACGATTTTTTATGGCTGCACATTTTGATTGCTCCTGCCCTCTACGTGCACTTGCTGTCCCTCCCCACCCCTGACCCCACATATCCGTAAGAGACTGCACAACTGTCTCTGAGCTGCTCTCTCTGAGCTGTGCACGGTGTTCTATTCCATCCTCCTAATCACTGCCTGCTGCCTTATTTGTGTGTGACCATCAGGAACAGGAATCCAAGAGAACAGGCTGTGCTCGGCAAATCCCAGAGGGAATGAAGCAAACATTCTCTCAAAACCCTCAATTATTCCCGCAGGGAGTTTATTTCAGTCCCATGATGTCAGCTCCAGATCATTTCACAACCTGCTCAGAGTTGGCTTCTCTATCTCACTCGTAGTGTCTTTGCTGATCTTTGCATCTCAATGACTCTCCGTCTGTGTAGTTTAGTGTCTGTTTCTCGAATTCACGAAGGGGTGGGGCAGGAAGATCCCAATGTGGATTCTGCCTGTCCTCGAGCCAGACTGACAGTCTCTCATTCCTCACTGCAAATTATCTCATTCATTCAGACTGAGAATCTGCAGCTGGTTCAATCCAATCTTCCAGTTCTCTTCTACTCCTGCTCGAAGGCACAGCCTCTCACTGGGGTACAGTCCCAAACACACACTGACTCGCACTGAGGTACGGGCTCCCAAACACACACAGATTGTCACTGGGATATGCCCCCACCCACCCACACACACGCACACACATGGGTATGGGCTCCCACACACACACACAGATTCTCACTGGGTACGGGCTTGCCACTTCAGCCCACCCCCCGACGTGTGCGCGCGTGCACACACATACACACACAAAGGGGTATGGGCTCCCATACACACAACATGCACTCACTCAGTCATGAGTACGGGCCCACACACTCTCAGTCGCTGGGGTATGGGTTCACACACACTCAGTCACTGGGGTATGGGCTCTCTCTCTCACACACATTCACATCAGGGTACATACTGAATGCTGCTGTAAGAGATAGGTTCTTGATTGGGAAGCGTTACAGAGAGAAGGAAGGAGAATGGGGTTGAGAAATACATCAGCCACGATTCAATGGGCCAAATGACCTGTTTCTGCTCTTATATGGGGTTAAGAATTTCATGGGATCAGGAAAATGAGTGAGGATTACATTTCTTGGCCTGCTGTGTTCATCAAGCTCTGCACCTTGTTGTCGATGATTACATTCATTGGCTTCCTGGGAAAAGTGAGTTGGTTTAATGAGGTGTTGGAGATCATCTGGAACACATCCCAATGTGAATATATTGTTTGTGGTAGGAAATCCTGCCAGTCTCTGCTCCATCACATTGGAGCTGATCAGGTCAATAAGCGAGCACGGCAAAATAGCAACAATCCTGAGGCAGCTGAAATATTAAAATAAAATGAAGATATTACAGGATATTAAATTAACCACAAGCTTGAAACACAAGGGATCAGAGCTGATTAAACAAAACTTTCAGCCAGCTCTCTGCAGAATTTCAAATCCATCAGGTACCTCAAACATCAATGGCACAGAGGGAGGGCTGCTCTGTCACGGGGTCAGCGCTGAGGGAGGGCCGCTTTGTCAGGGGGTCAGCGCTGAGGGAGCGCCCCACTGTCGGAGGGTCAGCACTGAGGGAGCGGGCACTGTCGGAGGGTCAGCGCTGAGGGAGCTCCGCACTGTCGGAGGGTCAGCGCTGAGGGAGCGGGCACTGTCGGAGGGCCAGTGCTGAGGGAGCGCCGCACTGTCAGAGGGTCAGCGCTGAGGGAGTGGGTACTGTCGGAGGGTCAACGCTGTTTACTACAAATAAATAATTGCTAATTCCCAATAAATGCCTGTGAACTCTTGCCATGGAGCTCTATTACTTAAAACAGTATGCCCCTTAAACTGCCCCTACATTCTCAGCCCTGCTATAGGAAGGACATTATTAAACTGGGCAGTGTTCAGAAAATTTTTACCAGGATGTTGCTGGGAGTGGAGGGTTTGAGTTATAAGGAAAGACTGGATAGCCTGGGACTTTTTTCACTGGAGCATAGCAGGTTGCAGGGTGACCTTATAGAGGTTTATGAAACCATGAGGGGCACAGATAGGATGAATGGTAAATGGGACTAGATTGATTTGGGAACGTGGCCGATATGGATTAGTTTCACCGAAGGCTCTGATTCCATTCTGTACGACTCTGTGACTCTCAGACGGACACAGCTTGGGAAAGAGAACCTTGCTGTGATGGATGGAGGGTAAGTTTGGGAAGGCAGTGAATGATCCTTCTTCCCAGGGTTAATTGAGATGGTCCTTTCAGCTCCATTAGGATCTGCTGCTCCTTGATTTCCATTCTCAGATACTTTCACTTGTTTGCACAAGGTATAGGATGGCTAATTTTCATATTTATAAACCCTTGGTCTTCCTGGTTAAAAGCCACAGTTTGTAGCAACAGCTTAAATTGTTTACGTAAGGAGAGAGGAGACGGTTTCTGTCTCAAAGAATCACACCCATAAGCTGTTTTGATTAGCCAGGAGCCAATCACAAAGCCGATGCTAGGCCGAAGGCATTTTTCATGGATGACAGGGTCCCATTCCACAGACCAATCAGCTGCTTGTTACTGGCTGAATCTCCATTAATGTCCAATCCCCTGCCTCCAGCCACCCTATAACTTGTCTTCCTCCTCTGCTTGAACAAAGCAGCTGTGTAAAGACCACATGCAATGAGGGTCCGTGATTTGCTTTTAACACATGCAGCAATTCCTTCCAAAGTCCTTGGTTTTTAACTGTCCTTTCCCCATTTCAGTGCACAATCACAAATACAGAGAAATAAAGGAAATGGTCTTTATTCTGCATATGTTCCATTTTGGTGTAATGTGCACCGTCCTGCTATGTGGCTAATGTACATGGCCTTCAGACCAATGGAATATACATCTCCTCTGGTGTATAATATACAGTGTATGTCTGTAATGTATATGTTGCCAATGTGTCTCAGTGTACCTACACTTTACATGGACCTTGGTGCCTTCATTGTACACCTGCTGTGTGTGGGTACTGAACAAAGTCTCAGTGTCTGTGTGTTAAAAATGCTGTCTCTCCAAGTCTATAACATACCATTCTAGTGAATTTATAATATACACAGACCCAGTGTAGGTTAAATATACACAGTCCCGGTGCATGTTAAATAGGCATGATCCTGGTGTATCTATAATGTACATAGTCCTGGTGTACAGTTCCAGTATACATACAATGTACACTGTCCAATTGTGAGTTGGTAGCATCTGTGGAGAGAGAAACCCAGTGAACAGCTGGTGTTCAATATGACTCTTCTTCAAACTCTGCCAAATCTGCTGAGTTTCTGCAGCACTTTGTTTTATTTCCGATCTCTCACATCCTCAAGACTTTGTTTTTATCTCAATTTTTGTGTTATACACATTTCTGATATGAATGTACCTACTATAGGCACTCTATCCTGCACTGTGTACATACACTGTACATAATGTGTGTTTGTACCTTCCCCAGCAAATATACTGTGTTTACACTGTACATGGTGTGCACAATGCATTGTGTGTGTATGTTGTACATGCTCTGTATATTTTCTGGTGTACAGTTTTTTTTTGTTTTTACAGTACACTGTATATACAGTATATGGAGTGTATATAAATTTACTGTACACTTGCTGAGTATACATTGTACAGTATGTACGTGTAACATTGAGTACATTTTTACTGTACATGGGCTGAGTATACATTGTATAGTGTGTATGTGTAGCATTGAGTATTTTTACTGTATACTGGCTGAGCGTATATTATTTCAGTGTATATTGTATGGTGTAAATGTTATCATAATACTGAGTGATTATTTTAGTGTGTATATTTTACAATGTACATTTTACTGAGTGTAGTTTATATTGCGTGTACAGCATATTGTGTGTATATTACGCTGTGTACAGTATCCTGAGGATATTTTATTGTATGCTGACTGAGTGTACAGTACATTAGGTATACTTAAGATTGAGGATGTTTGTTGGGGATATTGACACTTATTCATTATGTATATTTGGGATATTGATTGGGGATATTTGGGATATTTTGCTGTACACTAAGTATATTGTGAATATTAAGTTTATTTCACTAACACAGACTGGGTGTACAGTGAAAGGGGTTTATTTCAGATTGGGGATGTGTTTTTTGTAAATATTGAGGTTATTTCTCTGTAACACTACTGGTGTACAG